ATACCCCAATTCTTGAGAACACTATTTTCTCAAAGAGAAATACAAATTTGCAAACTTACAAGAAAAAACCTCACAAGGCAAATATGTTTGCACAATTCTAGAACAAAGAAAGAACACTCAAGAATAAATACAATTGAGCACAATAAGTGTTCTTGAAAGCAAAATGAATATTGAATGAAAAATAGGCTTGAAATGCTCAAACTTGAGGTTTGATGCTTTCTCTTTGATTCTCTCTTGATTCTAATTGCTTGATGTTTCTTGTTATTGATCAATGGCTTCTAAGCTTGCTTAAATACATCTTGAATCACTTCTGAACGTTGGGGATGATTAGAGAAAATAATATAGCCGTTTTAGTGTGAAAACAATTAATAAAACAGTTTGGAGCGTGAGGGGAATCGGTACCCCCTATGGGGAATCGGTTCCCTAAGTGTAAAATTCAAATATTTCGACCGTTATACAAGGGGGGAATCGGTTCCCTCCGAGCATACTGGAATTCTCGGAGCCAAACCATTCAGGGGGAATCGGTACCCCCTTGGGGGGGGGGGGAATCGGTTCCCTCTGAGCAATATGGAATTTTTGGCTTTGAAATGGTTCGAAATACTTTATAAAATTATTTTGAAATTGTTTTAAGATTAAAACTTAATTTTACACTTCGAGTAAGGATTAAAAATGATCTTTGAAAGATTTGGAGTAATGTTTTGATATTCGAATAATTCTATCGAATATACTTAGAAAATCATTTGGAAAATCTTAAAATTCATTTAACTTAATTTGTTATATCGAAATATCAAAATGTTTTCAACAGTATATAACTTTATAATCACCTCAAATTAATAAAAGAACGTGTGTTGTTGGAGTTATCTAACCTAGTAGAGAGAGAGAGAGAGAGAGAGAGAGAGATATGGAGTTTAGGGCCAAAATAAAGGGAGTGGAAAAGGAAGTTATTTGGTATGTAAGAGTGATCGTATATGATTGAAATGATTTAACAACATGACGCCATTTATGTATCAAAGTGTCAACTTTATCATCACAATATTTTTTTTAAGAAAAAATATCAATTATTTTATTTTCCCTTTTTTGCATGGGGAAATCTGGGTTTTTAGAGCTAAGCTTGAAATCATACCCCATAATACCTTATCTCGTATTTTTTAAATATATAAAAATAAATAAAGAAGAAAATATATTGGGCCACCATTTATGCAAATCTCAATTATTAGAATATCCTTTTGCTATATAAAGAAATGCATGACGTGCGGCCTCCACTTCCGGCCAATTCAGCCCTTATCCCTCAAGAAAAACACTTAAAAAGGGTTCAAATTGTATGCCTGAGTGCCTTCATATCAAATGAATTTCATTACAGATTTATATATCGAGCAGATAAATGTGTGTTGATGATTCATGTTCATCTTTTTATTCATTATATTTCATAATAATTGGGTTTGTACAAGAAAGGGGAATTACTGGGGGAACAAAAAGGGCTACTTTGCTGTTGTCTGCAATGCAAATATCTATCAAATCTGCAATCCCCATCTTCTTCCTTATCTTGGTGAGGTGTGTATGAGGTTCAGAATAGTAAGAAGAATGTACAGATTCAGAGACAAAGTTAGAATCAAATATCTGGAGGGATGAAATTGTTCAAGTACTTCAAAAGAACATGTATTTGATAAGAATTTAAATCTAAAAATTAGAGAGAGCAAAGCTTACTTGGATTAATATATAAAGCAATAACGATCTAAAGTATCACTTGATAAAAAAAAAATTAGGAGGACGAGAATCCCTCCCAAACACTATATAATTTTATCTCTGTACAAATTCATTTTCGATTGTGTCACATTTATCCTAATTGATGCATTAAAAAATCAATTATGTAAGTTAAATTTTGATAAAAAAAATAAATAAAAGATTATATCAAGTGAACATGATTGTTATTTTAATCTTTATTCTCTAATGATAGTATGAACAAACACAAATGCAATATTTACCATAAAAATTAAGTTAAATCCACATGAGATGTATAATTGATTATATTCTTCTATTGTTAAAATATGTTAAATAGTATTTACTTAATAATTTATAATCGAGAAATCTAGATTTAATAGCAAAGAGGAATGTCAGATATTTTGATAAATTTAAAGTTTATTATATGAATTTGATTGAGATATATTTTATTTCTAAAAATAATAAAGATTATTGTATACTTCTCTAATATTATAACCTCATGATCGAGTTTGAAACCAATCAAGGAAAGATTAAAATTTTGTAAGGTAATAACTATAAATATTTTTTTTAATATTTTTATAAAATAGTAAATGAAATAATTATTATTTTTTAATGAACGCATGATGTTTCTTGTGTATGATCTGTTTTAATCGTACACTCTTTATAAAAAAATTTGTTATATAAATTCTTAGATTTTTTAAATATATTTTTATATAAAATGTTTTTGTTCCCTCAAATAGCGAGTGCCGAAAATTTTGATATTTATTACAGTTTTGTATATTATTCTCATTTAAAAATAATTTTGTTGGAGGAAAAATAAAAATATTTAAAAGAAAAAAAAATTCATCTGGGGACGGTTCGGTCAATCTACCCGAATTAAGTACAATATATTTCCCACCGTCACTATCAATTCTATGTTGTAGGGCACACCTTGGGACCTAAACAAAAGTGCCTAATTTGTTGAAACAATGAGAGTATCAGAATGAGACCCAATTGTTTGAATTATTCATTACACATTACCATATAAGGATAAATATTTGTTCGAGTTGAATTAAATTGAGAGCATGTGATTCAAATTCGTAAAAAAATTTAGACTCAGAATGAAAGAGAAATCTAAGAAACAATGTTATTAGAGACTAAATCACAAAATAACCGAACAACTTAGCTAAAGTTAATGGCAAAACGAACTTGGTTTTAACATTTGATTTTTTACTTATTCGAATTTTTAAAATTTAAATTTTATTCAAACTCAAAGTTTGAACCATTAATTTGAATTGACTCAAGTAACTTAAATGACTAGAATAGCTTAAAATTAAAAATAAATCGAATTAAAATCAAATTTTACTCCCCTATAATCAAATATATGTAATTTACAACCTAAAATAGATTACCTTCTAAATCATGTCCCTTTTATTTAAAACTTTTCATTTTGACCATGGATACAAGTAAAATTGATGTGGTAGGACATTTAGGCACTCTACTTTAGAGTCATTGAACACTACTGATAGAATCAAAGATTCTCCACTATTTTAGATTTAGAATTAGGAGGGCAGGCAGGCAGGCAGTCCTTGTTTGACGTGTGTGTGTTTAAGCTACATCTTCTCAAGGGTAAAAATATGTGTTAGTGGACCAAAGAAAGTATACCCTATATCAAACTATCTTGTTTTATATTTTTATATAAAAAGTACGATTTAAATTGAATTTAATCCAGTACAAAGTAAAATTTACTAAATTAATATTATAAAAGTTAAAATCTCTTAAATGCTATACTTTTCAGAGTAATTATATGAATCGACTAAATTAATCTTTTAAGATTAATATGTCAAAAATCGAGTTATGTTATGCAATGAACATAAATAATTTTGCAAGGATTTATTGAGCAATTTGAATGGGAGAGTGGGGCGTATGTTTTGTCATTAAGCAAAAAAGTGCAGCTCAGTGGGTGAGTTAAAAACAGTACAAAGATGCTGGGAAGTGCTCAGTTTGGCGTTAACCAAACTTCACCTGATAAACAGCAAGGCACCTGCTCTTGTTTGTGGGTTCTTCCATTTCAACACACAAGTCAATCACTATGTTGTATTCTCGTGAGACCAAAAACAATCTCTAAATGGCTTGATTTCGAATATCATAGATGAATTTTATCAATAGGAGAGGGTTGAAGTCTGCACTCAAGGAAATGACTAACTTCAGACTTCTGTGTAGTCCGAGCTGCTCAAAATCGTGGATGTATTAAATAACATTAAATTTATTTTTAAATATTTTTGTATGATTTATGAAGTAAACTGAAAATCTAAGAATGAACGTGACTCGGTCAGTGGATGTACTGCTCATTCTTTATTTAGGTGTCCACAACGTTTTATTTTTGTGTATTGATATTTTTTGGTGTAAAATATTTTTTTTTAATTTTATTTGAATTTGTTAAAATTGATAAAAGATATCATTAAGAGAAAAAATAAAACATAAAATATCGACATTTCATTAATAGAATAGTAAAGTTAAAACTAATTACATAATACATGTGATTATAGATTTGAAATGAGAGAGACAAATATTTTATGATATTGACCGAAAAGACAAAGAAATTAAACCACATTATTAGACTAAATTTTCTAATAAACTTATTATTTTGCATGGGTTAAGTTAATCTCATATTTCCCCATGCAAAATCAAAGTAAACACGTAAGCTTAAGACATCTCCAAGTGGAACTCTCTTTTCATAGCACTCACAGCATGAAATAAATTTTTTTAAACTTTGTCGGAAGCACCATCCATCCCGTTGTTTCCTTCGATTCTGCCAACGTTGTTGTTGTCGTCGTCGTCGACAACGATCGAGTGGTCCGATAATTGAAGCTCTGGATAAGATTCTTCCACCGTTTTCTTGGGATGATTTCTGTAAACTGCGTAAAGTATCATCTGAAGAATTCCGAAGATGAACCCTAGAATGTTTGGAACCTGTTGATTGGAGTTCGATGGTTGATAAAAAATCGACAAAAAAGTCTAAATAAAATGATTTTGGTGTGGTCAATGAGATGACGTACGGCAATGTTCATGTCTTTCAACAAAAGGCCATAGAAGAACCACATGACAGCTCCCAAGGTAAGGAATACTGACAAAGTAAAAGGCATGAACTTCACACTCTTCGTTTTAATCACTTTCCTCTGCGATAAAAGGGGTCGAAAATTAAGTCCGACAGTGAATCAGACGATGACACATTAATCGGTTTAAAAGTTATCAGCGATCCTCACTACGATGGCGAGAGGTGCGGCAAACACTGCCAAAGCGAATGTCATGCAAATGTAACCCAAAACTAGTAGACGAATCGAAGGATTTGGGAGGAAGAAAGTTGAGAGAAAGATAACTCCGAATCCGAAAACATTGAAGAGAAGCATAAGCTTCACTGTCACAATCTGCAATTCATCCATTTCGACATATTCAAATCATGCCACAAATATATGTATATGAATATGTGGAAGCAATTGATAGATGAAGAGATGTTACCTTTTCCTTCTTGGGGCCATAATAAAAGTACGTGACAATGTAAAAGGTCTGAATGAAGACACAGAAAGTGTTGATGGTGATGAGGAACATAGCATCTTTCTTAAGCAGAGCATAGTAAATCCAAAGCATTGCACTGAAGAGCGAAACCACGTAAGGAATCGACTGGAAACCTTCGGATGTTTTCTTCTTGTATATTTGATAAAATGCTGGCCTGAAAAATATTAATGGGACGATAATCTTCCATTAACAACACAATTTCTCACTAAAACAATAGTAAAAAAACAAAAATAGTTCGACAAAAACACTCACAGTGGAGCCAAGGAGACCATGAATGAAACAGCGTTGCCTGTAAACACAAAAAATATGGCGAGAAAAATAAGAAAACATGGATTGAAACAGTAAGACAAAACATGAAAAAACACATGAAGATTTTGTTTGTTTGTATATACCTAGAATGCCAAAAATGAAAACCCAAGAGAGGTGAAGAGCCATGATGATGTATATATATGTATGTGTTTTTCTCTCTATGTCTGTAGAAGAGAAAGTATGTGTTGTTAGGAAAGTGAAGCTCTAGCTTGTTGCTCTTAATCCCACGATCTGTGAAGCGCTCTCGAGGTTTATATTTATAGCCATGGAAAAGGTGGGTGGGTAGAGGAACGGACAAGGAAGGTGTGGTCATGTTTTATTGTGCGTATAAACCTATTTAAAATTTCATTTCTACTTTAAAATATAATTGCCTCATTTCAATCACATTAAAATCACATTCTCTCTAGAACACTTGGATTAAGTCGAACTTTTTATCACACGATTAAAAAATTAAAGTCTCACTTACACTCCACCTCTCTCTCTCTATATATATTATTTATTTATTTTTATAAGATAAAATAAAGATTTAATTAAAAAATAAAATAAAAATATTTTTATAATTATTTTTAAATATATAAAGAATAATTATAATATTAAATAATATCAGATCGAGTTAGTTTTTCTTCATCATAAATTCAAAATTGATATGACCTCTTTTCTTCATCATAAATCCAAATTTAATCCAACCTCATTTCTTCATCATAAATCCAAATTTAATCCAACCTCATCCTTAAAATAAACCTACTCGTTTGATTCCAGTGAAATTATCATCTCTACTATCAAACAAAGGTTAGACTTGTTCCAGTTTAACAAAATCTCATACTCAAAACTTTAAAAAATAATGATATTATATGTTTAATTTTTTTTATTTTTGTTTTTATCTTGTTTGATAATCGAGATTATTTTCTATTTAGTTCGTTAAACTAAATTAATAATCAATCTTAACATATTAACCATATAGAAGAAGTCGATTTGACTTAATAATTAATATGACATACAAATTAAATCAACAATTGATTGTTAGATTTTGATTTGATTTTTTTTAAATATGTGGCGAGCATTTTAAGACTGTAGCTTTTTTTTTTGTTGAAGGAATATAAGGCTGTAGCCTTTTTTTGACAGGAATATAAAACTTCATTTTCCTTTTAGTTGTTCTTTTCACCAAACAATAGTTATCGATTTTATTCTTCATTGACTGTTGCCGTTCGATAGTCTCCGGCTACCGTGCCGAAGTTGCAAGATTTCATCAGATCCATAAGTATTAAAACATATACGTAGAGTTTCGAAAGTCTTGTACAAATGATGAAACTTTTATAAGAGTATTGGTGGATGTAGGTGATATGTGCACCAAGGTTGGTTAGCAGGTAGTTGTGAGGTTGTTGTAACTATTGTGTAGCTGTTACAACAACGGTTAAGTTGTTACAGCAGTTAGTGCTGAAAGCATACAAGTTGTGCATGCAGGTATAGTGTATATAAAGCAAAGCCTTGTAAACATTGAAAATACATTCATTCAATATATCAGCCAATGAAATAAACTGTTGTTTACAGCTCCTAATAGCGTTCTAATATGGTATCTTTCGCTGAAGATCTTGGCCTTTAAGCTCCGGCTGCGGTGATGGCTCTTGATAGTCTGAATATCTCCTCAACCTCTGGAGGAGGCTCGATGATACGTTCGGTAGTGCTCACTAACAAGAAGGTGAACGTTGTCTTGGATGAGATGAACTTCTTACTATGGAAACAGCAAGTGCTGCTTACAGTTCGAAGTCATCGCTCAGAAATTGTTGACTGGTTTGATGATAGCTCCACTAGAGAAGGTTGTTGATCAGAATGGTGAGGTCGTTGTGAATAAAGCCTTTGAGGACTTCATGGCCCAAGACAGTGAATTCGCGTCCTGGTTGCTGTCTACCATCAGTCCACAGTTGCTACCTCAATTTGTTGGCACTGAGACATTGGCTGTAGTATGGAACAAGGTGACTCAGTTTTTTGCTAATCGCTCTACCACAACAGTAATGAACTTGCTGTATAAACTTCAATCCCTCAAGAAAGGAGATGACAACATGCGAGTCTACCTTACCTGTGTTAAAGAAGTGTGTGATGCACTTGAATCTTGTGGGAGTCCCGTTGCTCCAGTTGAATAGATTGTGAGTGTACTCAAAGGGCTGCCTCGTGAATATCAGTCCTTCATGGCAGTTTTAACCACCATGCGTGAAAAGCCTACTCTGGACGTTGTGAGCAATATACTGATCGATGCTAAAACTCAGCTTGTTGGCTTTGAGTTCTCAGTAGATAGCCTTCCAATGAGTGCTCATGTGGCACAGACTACGAACTGTGCTGCTTCTCACTCAAGATCTAATCAAGAATTCAATCGAAAACCATATGCCGGTGGTCGTTCAGGAGGTCATGGTCGAGGTCGTCCCCGAGTACAGTGTCAGCTGTGTGGTAAGGTGGGTCACTTGGTTCAGCAATGCTGGTATCGATTCAATTGCAAATTTCTTGGTGATGGTAGTGATACACATCGGCATAAAACTAGTCCTGACAATATTAATTTTGTTGAAAATACACAATATGACTATTATGGTGAAGGAAGAGCTGTTGAACCCCCTCAAGCCAATGCAATCTCTTCTTCTCGCAAACATGGGTAGTGGATTTTGGAGCTACGCACCATGTAACATCGGATGCTGCCAATATTGCACAATCCTCTGATTATAGGGGATCGGGTAATCTCTTTGTTGGCAATGGTGCTTCCATTCATGTAGAAACTGTTGGTAATGCTTTGGTATCCTCTCGATCAAAAGCACCACTGCTAACTAACATCTTACATGTGCCTAAGATAACTAAAAATATGCTTTCGGTGTCCAAGCTTGCTAGGGACAACCGTATATTCCTTGAATTTCATGCCAATGATTGTTGTGTTTGGGATGAAGTCACTAGTAATGTTCTTCTTCGAGGGAAGCAGAACAGAGGTATTTAATCGTTTGAGCTGGCTGATGACAGGCATCAATTTGAGGGTCAGACTAGTAATAGTCTAGCTACTACCTCAGAGGCGTTCGATCTGTGGCACAGACGTTTGGGCCATCATTCCTTTCAAACATTGAAAACTGTTTCAAATAATGCTAATAAAATTTGCTCGGCTTGTTGTGATAGGAAAAGTCACAAACTGCCTTTTGAACATTCGCAGACTGAGTATTCTGAACCATTTTAACTTGTATTTTCTGACTTATGGGGTTCTGCACCTACTCTATCGAACGTGTTTAGGTCCTATGTTGTCTTTGTGGACGCTTGCACTCGACACTCTTGGTTGTACTTGCTGAAGGACAAGTCTCAGCTTATAACTGCGTACCAAATGTTTAAAAGTATGGTTGCCACACAATTTAACCTACCTTTTAAAGCCATTCAAAGTGAATGGGGTGATGAGTATAGACCACTAAATGCTATACCGACTAAAGAAGGAATTGTTCATCGTGTGACATGTTCACATACCTCTGAGCAGAACAGAGTTGTGGAGTGAAAACATCAACACTTGATCGAGCTGGCTCTTGTTCTACTAGCTCAGGCTACTTTACCTTTGAAATTCTAGTAATATGTTGTTATCACGGTTGTATATCTTATTAATCGACTCCCTACGCGTTTACTACAAGGTGATTCATCCTTTGAAAAACTGTTTCACAGGCAACCTAACTACAATTTCATGAAAGTGTATGGATGTAGGTGTTTTCCGCATTTACGAGCGTTTCAAAAGCACAAACTCATGTTTCGATCCCAAGAATGTACCTTCTAGGGTATAGCCCTCAGTACAAGGGATACCAATGTCTGGAAGCAGATCGACGAGTTTACATATCTCGTTATGTAAAATTTAATGAATTAATGTTTCCTTTTGCAGAGTTACAGTGCACTCGTGGTCCAGCTAGAAGCAGTCGCCTGCATTGGATATAATGGTACAACCACAAAACTTACGTGTGCATGCGCCTAGAGCTCCTGCATGTGTGCATACTCCTCTTGTGGATACACCAACCTCTAGTGACCCTCAAACTCCCCTATTCATACTGACTTAAACGTGTCATCTGCCAAGAACCAGTGTACTTCTCTATCTTAAGCATCTGTGTCTACTCCCACAACTTCTGTCTCTAATGAAGTAGCAATTCATGACTCTCCATCTCAGGAACCTAAACATTCAGTAGCTGAGCCGACTATGGTGTCGCGGTCGAATGCTGCAATTAATACTCATTCAATGTGCACACGTAGAAAAGCTAGTATCTTCAAGCCCAAAGCCTTCATCGATGATTGTGATGAAGTAATTCTAGAAACTGTGCATGAGGCGTTTCAGTCTGAAAAATGGACTGATGTTGTTCACGATGAGCTCAATGCTCTCTAACAAAATGGAACCTGGACTCTGGTTCAACTTCTAGAAGGGATGTCTGCTGTAGGGTGCAAGTGGCTCTTCAAATTTAAGAAGAACGCTGATGGTACTGTGCAGAGACGGCGCGCCTGGTTGCTAAGGGGTACTCACAGGTGCCAGGGCAAGATTTTCAAGAAACCTTCAATCATGTGGTTCGTTTCTCTACAATCAACATCATCTTTTCCTTGGTAGTCTCGAGGAAATGCCACTTTGACAAATTGATGTCAACAATGCATTTCTCAATGGTGGACTGACTAAAGATGTGTTTATGAAGCAACCGCCTGGGTTTGAGGTGGGTGATCCTAATGGCAAGCCTCTTGTGTGTAAGCTACAGAAGGCGCTCTATAGCTTACGACAAGCACTACGCAACTGAAACACCAAGCTTCGAGACAACTTAGTTGCAATAGGATTTCGAGAGTCCAAAGCTGACAGTTCCCTGTTTGTTAACAATCAAGCTAGTAGTCGCACGTTCATCCTCGTTTACGTTGATGATATTATATTAACAGGAGAATCATTCAGTCATATCCAATATGTCATTCGTGAGCTTAACAAGCAGTTTTCACTCAAGGACCTTGGTGACTTGTCTTACTTTCTGGGTATTGAGGTCAAGCGTTGTGCTAACTCCATTGTCTTGAGTCAAAAGAAGTTTGTGCTGAATTTGTTGGCAAAAATAAAGTTGAATCGAGCCAATCCCACTACCTCGCCCATGGTTATAGCCAACAGATTGTCTAAGGATGAAGGCAATCCATTAGTTGATGCTTATGAGTTTCGAAACATTGTTGAATCCTTGCTATATGTATGCCACACTCGTCCTGATATTGCTCTCAGTGTGAGCAAGGTTACACAGTATATGCAAGCTCTCGTGAATCACATCTTATGGCAGTTAAAAGGATCCTATGATATTTGGCAGGCACAGTGGACTATGTTATGTTGGTCCTAACCTTTCCATCACTGCATTTGCAGATGCAGATTGTGGAGATGATTTGGATGACAGACGGTTAATGTCTGGCCATTGTGTGTTTGTTGGTAATTATTTGGTGTCTTGGTTGTCAAGAAAACAAAAGACAGTCTCTCGATCAACCATGAGCCGAGTACAAAAGCATTGCTGATGTTGCTACAGAAGTCACTTGGGTGAATGCTATGCTTGCTGATTTAGGTGAAGCCTCTGGTACGATACCAACTATTAGGTGTGATAATTCGGGTGCCATAGCAATGAGTGCTAACCCGGTTTATCATGCACATTCCAAGCATGTTGATCTCGATGTGCACTTTGTGAGAGAAAAGGTGGCTGCCAAACAACTACAAGTTCAATACGTACCAGCTTCACATTAGATTGCAGATGGTTTTACCAAACCACTAGCTAGGGGTTCATTTAAATACTTTGGTGATCGGGTTAAGGTTTGTTTAGCTAAAAACAAAGGAAAAAAGTAAGAGGAATGTTGGATGTAGGTGATATGGGCACCAAGGTTGGTTAGTTGTTAGCAGGTAGTTGTGAGGTTGTTGCAGCTGTTGTGTAGCTGTTACAATAACGGTTAAGTTGTTACAACAATTAGTGTTGAAAGCATGCAAGTTGTGCATGCAGGTATAGTGTATATAAAGCAAAGCCTTGTAAACATTGAAAATACATTCATTCAATATATCAGTCAATGAAATAAGCTGTTGTTTACAGCTCCCAATAGCATTCTAATAAGTATTTAGGCCTATAAACGAACCGAACGTTTAGTGAACCGTTCGGCAGGAAGTTCGATTATGTTCGTTTATTTATTAAACAAACAGACATTAATAAGATTTTATGTTCGTTTAGTTAAATGAACAAACACGAACAAAGGGATCATTCGTTCATTTATGTTTGTGAACGTTTGGTGATCCGTTCATTTATGTTCGTTTGTTTATGTCTATTAGTTTATATTCAGTCCAATCTCTAGACCGTTTGAAATATTAAGGCCTAATATTGAACTCATAAATATTTTAAAACCCAATTAGTTTTAAACCCAAATAAAAATACTCAAATAATTAAAGAAAAATAAATCCTAAAATTATTTAGAAAGAAAAAAATATTCTCAAATATAAACCCAATTCATTTTACGTTCATTCGTTTGTGTTTGTTTATATTCATTCATTTGTCTTCGTTTATCATTTTAATGAACGAACACGAACAATCTAAATTTTTTAATGAACGAACAAGAACAATAAATTTTATTCATTTATGTTCGTGTTAGTTCATTTGTTCAGTTAAAACTAAATAAACGAACATGAACAATCATCATTCATATTCGTTTAGTTCATTTACATGCCAAGGCCTAAGAGTATTGATACCTTGAAACTATCTAAACTGAAAATATCAAAACTTGTATAAGAGTCATGAAACTCTATAAGGAAATTATTGAAATTCCTCCTAAAAGTTTTAAAATTTCGTTCCGTGAGTTTACAAATGAAATTACTTTTTTATTTTTAAAAATATTTTAACTGAGGTAAATAAATAAAAATACGTGAAACTTATTTTTAATTCTTTTAAAAAATATTCAAGAATAATTGTTTATAATTTTTGTAAAATTAATTCTTAATTATTTAATATTAGATCAAAACTACTTACAAATCTAGTAATTTGTATATAATTGTCAAATAATCGTCTTATTAATTTCATAATTGGTATATAATTGTAATAAAATTAGTAATATAGTTTTATATAAACTTAGTAATATAATAAAACATTATCGTCTATCCGATTTTATTAAACTCCTAAGTACTTGAAGTATTAATTAGTTATTAATTTCATTTACTTGATCTGTAACGGTTAATCGGCCTAATCCTAACCCCTTGTACCAGATTTAGACAAAGGGGTCTCAATTTTTCAATAATAATATTTAAGTAGTGGTTTGACCATTTAATCATGTATGTATATACACTTAACCATTTAATATTTATTTATATCTACTCCTAACATAACACTTTAATTTTTATTAACTTAAACATTTAATTATACTTTATCTAATAATATAATACAATTTTTTATTATCAATTTGATATCATAATTATTTTATTATCATATTTATCATTAGTGTTACAGACAGGTTCGTCCCAAAAGAAAGGGAGATTATGTATTACTTTTTAAAATAATGTCCTTAAAATATTTTATAATAAGACGAAATTGTAAAATGTTAAAATCTATTAGATTACGATTGTTTCTTACAAAATAAAAAAATAAACATATGAAATTAAGTTTTTTTTTCATTGAATTTTCTTCATGCGCACATGGTAGGAAAAATAATTTTTTTAGATTAATAAATTTTTTTAAAGTCTTAAGCACTCAAATTTTGAAACCTTATAACATATCATAAGTTACACTTACTCGTAGACGACTCTAGTTACAAATGAGTGATATAAATTGATATATCAATAAATGAATGACACATGACACATAATTTAAATAAAGATTTACAAATATATTTTTCAATATAGATTTTTCATGTCACTTTTTTAACTGATGAATCAAGAAATGAGTGGAATAGTCCTTCATTAATTTTTTAATGAAATAATATTAGAAAAACTCTTAATGTTTGATTGAATAGTCACTTTGGTTCTTGTTTGAGTCTAAACCAGCCACCACGACGCCGTTTACCAGCAATTCTCCGGTGAACTTCCTCAACCAAACTGTCTGTAAGTTGGTTCTCATTTCTTTTCCTTAGATAGTTAGGTTCTTCACTCATTTTTTACCATCTTAAATTTAGTTAAATTTATAATTGAGATTTTAAGTTTTGAAAGTTATTTTTTAATTTGAGTGAGTTAAAATTAAGAGATAAAAATTAAATTTTGAATCAATTTAATAGATTTTAGTGATTTTATGAAGAATATTTGAATGTTAAATTGTGATATGTAAAATTACTAATATGTATTTTTGGGAAGGAGAAAAAAATGGTATACTAAATTTGTGTAATTTAAGTAGAAGCAATTTAGATATTTTAATTTTTAAGTTGAATCCATTAAAACTATTTAATTAGTAATTAAGATCTTACTTCTTTGATAATAAATATAATTACTAATAGTGAATTATAATCAATAATTATTGTAATTTGTAAATTTTGTAATTGTAGTAGTAAGAAGATGAATGATGAAAAGATGAACTCTCAACGAAAGAAGAATAATGGAATGTTGGATAGGTTTGTTCAAAAGTCCAAAAAGAATGATGCAAGTTCTTCCCAAGTGTCAATTTGTGTCTCATCACCGACTCAACCTTCAGCAACTCAAGTCGAACAAGAATTTTCTTTCCCTTCAAATAATATGCCCCAAACTCAATAAACCGAAATGAGATCTACATGTATTACACAAGATGATAGTACAACATTGCATCAAGAGAGATGAAAAGCCAAGTTAATGATATCTCTATTCCACATGATCCGGCTAAAAGGAAAAAAATTATTGATTATCATCCAATGGATCGAGAAGCAGTGAGGAAAAATACATACAAAGAGGTGCTTGCCAACCAAAGAAATACAAATTTCCTCAAACAGACTTTGGAGGAGGTACATTGCGTCGCTTTAATAAATCTTTGTTTAATAAGTATTCTTGGCTTGAGTATTGTGTTTCAAAAGATGTCACATTTTTCTTTGTTCGTTACTTGTTTAAGAATGAAACTACCAAAGCTACAAGAGAAGATGCATTTTTTGTTAATGTGTTTAGAGGTTGGAATAGGCCAGTTCGGTTTAGAAAACATGTTGGTGGAATTAATAGTGCTCATAATCAAGCTTTTCAAAAGTTTGAGAATTTAAAGAACTTTAAGTCATCCTTGAAAGTTTCTTTAGACAAACAAACCGAGTAAGCTAAAAGTGACTACCGAATCCGCTTGATTACTTCTTTCATTGTTTGAGATTTCTTTTACATTAAGGATTGTCATTTTGTGGTCATGATGAATGTGATGAATGTATCAAGGGAAATTTTCTTGAACTTTTGAATTGGATTGAGGAAAAGAATGAAGATGTGGAAAATGTTGTTTTGAAAAATGCACCTAAAAATAATCAAATGATTGCACATTCGATTCAAAAAGAGCTTATCAATTGTTGTGCAAAAGAAATTACCAAGGCAATTGTGGAAGATCTTGGTAAGGATTATTTTGGAATACTAGTAGATGAGTCAAGTGATGTGCCTAAAAAAGAACAAATGGCTTTGTGTGTCCGTTATGTTGATAAAAAGGGAATGATAAAGGAACAATTTCTTGGAATTTTTAATGTTGGAGATACCACATCTTTGTCTCTTAAAGAAGTTATCTTTTCTTTGCTTGATGAGCATTCTTTGAGTTTTTCAAGAATTCGTGGGCAAGGGTACGATGGAGCTAGTAATATGAAGGGTGAACTTAATGGTCTCAAAACTCTAATCATGAGAGAAACACAATCTACGATGAAGTATAAACGTAAACGTAAACTAAATTATAATTAGGATATTCTTCTATAACCGTTGACACAAGACCTAGCCACTTAGATCACACAAGGACCGAAAGAAGGAAAAGGGTAAAAAAAACCTAACAAAAATGCTCAAACAAAATAAAGATATTAACAAATTTGACTGCATCGGAAAACGAACCACAAAAGGAGATAAAATTATTGAAAGACCACAGACAAATAGCAAATCAGAGTCTAGCAATGAGAGAAAACTATCAACGAATGCAAAAATCTTATCCAAATCAGTCGATGGTCTAAGGTAAGGAAGATCAGCATGATAACAAATAAGCGCCATCTTGATCAGCCGTGAGATGTCAAATATATCCCTAAAAAAAGATAATAAAAAAATAACGGTCAAACGATCGAAGACTACAAAAGGTAGCCACAAAGGTAGAATAATTGTACCACCATTGTTTGATATTTAAACTTTAATAGTATTATGCAAAAAATATTGTTTTGGTATTCCATTGGTCACGCATTTGCGAACGAATATCCATTGCTTTTGATCAATTTCAGCACTTGCTGGTTAACACTATACATTATCCAAAACTCATGCATACGACATAGCAAACCACTTTTATTTTTATAATCCTAAGTAACAGCAGTAATTATAACAAAAACATTCAATAAAGCAAGTGATTTAAACACCTTTTCTTCTTTATTTTATTGATCTGTACATGTTCATTACGTAGAATTTCTGGAAAAAAGGAAGAAAAAAAAGGATCGTGGGGTATGACAACATGCATGGCTCCCTTTATCAGGTTTAGTTAATAAATTGTTTTTAAAGAATTTCTAGTTGATATATTACTGAAAATATTTTACTTTTATTTTTAAACGATTCTAAGGCATATTCTATCATATCGATTAATTTTTCTAAAAAAATCGAACCTGATGTATTTTATAGAGAAATTTAGGCAAGGTTTGTGGGTTGATCTAGGAGGCAACTATGGATTATTTTCAGGTGAGATTGGGTTGCATTTGATCAATTATGAAATAATTATATTATCCTTATGATTGGGAAAATTATTAGCAAAATAATCCAAGTATTAAGCAAGTTGGACAGACCATATATAATGGTTGATATATAATAAATAATTAAGGCGGCATTTGGTCGCAAGAATTGGCAGGGCAGACACATATCACATATAGGATAAGGATTTGTTTCCAATCTGTATACAAGGTTAGAGTTTAGAAAGTTGAAAACCCACCACCCCAAAAAAAATACATAAATTAAATTAAATTAAAAATAAAGGGTAGATAAGTTTGAGCTTTATGCTACAGAAGGATCAGAAAAAAAAGAGATTTGAGAGAAAGTGCGATGGAAAGTGCTTGATTAGGGATATTTATTAAGTAATAATATAATATCAATAATTCAAAGCAAAACAGGTTTTTAGTGGGGTTTTTTAGTCCTATAGCGGTGCTTTTAAACGTCATTAAAAACACTACCGGTGCAAGGAAGAGCGTCGTAAAAGGTAGCAATGTTTGTGAACCTAAAACGCCACAAAAGGGCAAGTTATATAGCGGCCTTTGTTCTGTCAAACGTCGCTATATGTTGTGATTTATAGTGGTATTTTTGTTCACAAACACAACTAATTATCCTTATTTAGGGGATGAACGCCTCTAATTCTCTTATCTTTAGCGGCGCTTTTCCAAAAACATCGCTAATTTGCTTGTCTTTAATGGCATTTTTGCCACAAACGCCGGTAATTCTCTTGTCTTTAGTGGTGTTTTTGCTACAAATGCCGCTAATGCTATTGTTTTTAGTGATATTTTTAATACAAAACGCCGCTATATATTATTTTTTGTGACATTTTTACCACAAACGTCGCTATTTGTAAAAGGTTGGCATGGTTTGATTGGGTTGCTCTTCATTGAACCTGTAAATTGTTGGTCATCAGTATCTTAATCCTGAAACTTTTATTAATGCTAATATAATATTATTTTACTGATGAGTTAAAACCTTGGGTCTGATGACATTATTTAAAGAGCTGGTAATGACAGCTGTTATTTTGCAAAAACCAAAAGCAATGGCCTAGACAATATGAACAAATGAGTAATTATTATAAATAATGAGTCTTCCCAAAAGAGAGTAGCTTTTTTCCCTTTTCCACCTTTTCCAAGCAATGTTTCAACTTTTTCATCAAATAGTAAACAATAACAAGCGTCGGTGAAAATGAAAAATAAAACAAAAGAAGTTTTTAACTTGAACCCAGAACTAAACAAATTAACAAAACATTGTCGTATAATATAAAACAAAAGAAGTTTGTAACTTGAACCCATAAGCATAAACAAACCATGAAAGGCACTTAAACTATTCTTTTCCATTAAAAATTTCAAAACCTGGAATCATAAACAAACCAGTCATGACAAGCATTAAAAATTTATTTCGCAACACATGTCCTATATTATGGTTGAGAAACTTGAATGATTGATTAAATTTATTAAATTGAAATCGGTTATATATATTATTTGTTAATTTTATTAAATAGAAAGAAAATCATGGAAATGTATAAACTAATATTTAAGAATAAAAATTTAATCAAACAATTCATATAAATAGTAGATACAAATAAACATCATCGTCAACCGTAAAAAATAAACACTATCAACTGTATGAACTTTAGTACGTTGATGTTAAATAGCAGTGGACGTTGTGTGTAATGAAAATTATAAATGATTATGAGTCTTTGAACAGAGAATATACATTAAGAATAGAGTGTGTATGAAAATTATCAACATCCAAAATAACTCACAAACTTCTAAACACACGATAGAATGAAATCATCATCAGTTTACTCAAACAAATCAAAATATTCAAATCAACACATCGTCAAACTACCAACATATTGGATCAACATAATATCTTCTTCAAAGGCATCTGAAAATCTTTTTTTGAGATAGTCTTCAAAATCTCTGGATGACAATCTCAATTGTTGTTCTTAATGAGAAAATATCATAAAATCCGAATTTAGTTTATTTATATCTGATTCGACTTAACTTTTGATCCGATTTTAATGAGATAATTGAGTCTAAGTAAATGAATAATTTATTTATTTATTATTATTATTATATAATTTTAGAATTGATAAATGGTAAAATGATGTATGTTTTATTCTCATTCTATATTATACTACTAGCATCTGCACACGGAGGAGCAGAACACGAGAGATCTCTCTCTCTAGAAGAGAAAGTAGCAGCAAACTAGGGAGGTCGTCTCCTTGTTCGTCGATAATGTTCCACTGTCGTTGCACTTGAAAGGTATCTGGCAGTTTTTCTGAAGACATGGAGCATTATAGGAGGTGTATGTGGCGAGAAAACTATTGAACTCGAGTTCTTAACGAGCTGAAAAGCTACTTTATACTCGACTCGAAAAGCTTGCGAGTAGCTCAAAATTATAATATATCAAGATTTTTTAAAAATAAATTATTAATAATATTACCATTTATGTGTTGATTTTTTAAAAAACTGCAATATAAGGTTTTCATATTTAAGGTTTAGGTTTTAGTTCGAGTTTGAGGTTTTAATCTAGTTAAGTTTAAGATTTTTTTTTCATTTTAAGCTTTTACGAATTTCAGTTCATAGTTTCAAATTCAAGTCCAGTTTAAAATTTTCAAGCTCATGAATTTTCGAATTGAGTCTAGCTTCATTTTAAAATTTTCGAATCGAGTCG